CAGCAACAAACCTGATATTAAACACTGGCCAGCATCCTGCTCTGCATTCCTGTCACATCAGGAATAGGAAAGAGGGAGACTGCTAGCTGCTCCTCCATATAGCTGAAGGGTTCCTTCACTTTACAGCACGTCATACAAATACTTGACATGATTCTTGCAGAGGTTTCTGCCGCATTTTCTTTTCTTTCGCTCCTTTTCTCCAGCTCACCCACTTCAGAGCTCGCTAGGGACCCTTTGTACTTACTAGGCTTGTTTTTGATACACTCCTTCCCAAAGACTGGCAAGTCAGAAATAAAAGCAGTTGTTCCTAGGCAAGTCACATATAAGCAAGCAAGCACAGAGCCACGGCTTGACTGGGCTGCCACACACAAAGTCTGCAAGTCAGGTCCAAATCTAAACCCTGTCCAGCACCAAGACTGACAGTGTGACACTGTCAAATGCAAGAGTAAACAAATCAGCCTGCAGCCTTCTGTCAATACCGAGTTCTGAGACTATAAATCCCAGCATCAACACTCAGTGCTCACATCTCCAACACATTACAAGCCAATTCCCAATGGGCAGACTGGGGGAATTCACTGACAGCAAGTGAAGTGAACTGCAGTAAGCAAGGCCTCTGTCAGATTTTCCATGGCTTCAGTATGCGTATTTCAATCACAGATGGAAGAACTCTACCTCCTCTGGAACATGGGCTGTAGACATCCAACTTCAAACTTAGCACCTGCATTTCTTATCCCAATGGAAAAGCACAGTCAGTGCCGCTCTGTACCTATCGTACCGGCCAGAACTCACCAGACTCACAACAACCTTCAGACACTGAGAAATCAGCTAAAAACTGAAATCTGGAAACCTTTTTACAATTATCTGGTGATCCACTGAACCAAAGACACTGTGTCCTGTAAGCAGATGGTCAACAAATAGCTCCAAGCTTGTACTGGGCTCCTCATCTCTCACTAGTCAAGCTCAACAAGGTCACATTTCAGAGTGTGATAATTTTACCCAAATGAATGAGCTCCATATGTGCAGGAGAGAAGGAAAGAAACAAACCAGGCAGCTCGGGTGGGATGAGGAGAGCACAGAACTGCATGATTAAGAAGAAATCATAATCCTTGTTTAGAAGGCTGAGGGCACAAGTGCTACTCCAGCCTGGGCACTTTTTGATCTCTGAGTGCTCGTTACTATAACCTTGACTTCTCACCACGTGCAATGCAAGACAGAATAACTTCCAAGTCAGTTGACTTGCACAATCTGTCATGAGAGGGGATCCCAAAGCACATCTACTTTTGTTTTCTACAATATTTTTATAGGAAGGACATGCCCAGTACTGTCAACCTGATGATGAGGCGTACAATGATACTATTCACAAAAGTAGGAAATAAGCATGGGCGCTACTATTTCATAAATTTTTAAATATATGTAAATATGCACTTTGAAGCTATCTGTAAAAAAATACATACAGAAAAATACACTGCTGCACTGTTACACACTCTGGTTTCTCTGGACAAGGATAAAACTCCATTTCAGCACCAGCCCCACGTTCCCACCATTTCCCTTGCACGAGCAAAATCATTTAAGCACCCACACCAAGCTGTGGAGAAAAAAACTGCCAGTTTGTCTCCAGCTTGATCAACTTTTAAGGAGGGAACTCAGATTCCCACCTTTACAAGCACCCAGCAGCAAGTCAAGAACCTCCTGTGGGCTGCAGTCTGTGCTTACATGAGCTGAAGTGCCTGTGAAGCCACATACTGAATGTGAAACTGGTGACTGGAAGCAGATCATAAAAACTGTCCCCCCCCTTCTCATCTCAACACATAATCGTGCTCACTTGCTCTTTTTCTATGCAAGAAACAAACAAAACTGCCACAAGGTGCCTAATGAATAACCAGAGTCCAGAAGAGGGTCCGACCAGCATATCCTACTCTTTCCACCCCTGTGGTCAGCAGAGATTCCTCTGGTAATGACCTTGTATACATCAATGTCCCCCTCAAGGAGCCAAGGACCACTTCTCCTGCTCTCCCCAAAGTCTTTATCAGACAGGAAACAAAGGCAATGCCACGAAAAGGACACTTCAGATCCACCTAACGGGCTCTAACCAGGATGGCATAGGCTGTTCATCCATGCACCCGGAAATGGCGGTGCTGAAAAAGCTGGGGAGGGTAAGAAACACCCTCTAAGAAAGAGAAAGAAAAATTTCCATTAGGATGATTTGAAACATTGACAAAGCAAGTCTGATGCACTTGAAAGAACAACCCCATGTTATCTTGCTTTATAGAGTTCACATTTTCATCTTTTCACAACCTACCACTTTCCTTCCAGCTCCAAAACAAAGCACTTACCTTTGATCAGTGCTAACTAACCCAGCCACAGAAAAATACTTCTCAATCTCTGCAACAAGAAACTGTTACACAGTTGAGGATGTCCCTAATAGGCCTATTTAAGGGTACAGCGACACCTAATAATTGATATACCTAATTCTAAAGCACTTTGAAGCTCTTGATAGGATTTCTGTAAAAATGAAATCAAAGTCTTAGTTCAGTGACATATAACAAGAAAAATATCCAAGAAAATCTCCAAAAATCTGACCATACACACATGTCCCTATATCAGCTGCAGGTGACAGTTCACTACAATGAGACCTTCACAAGGCATTACAACACATTATTTTGTGAGACAAGCTACCAACTAAGTTTACACAGATCTACTGATCACAGAAATATTTCATTAAGAACGAACAGAGACCCAAGCCCACACTGTTCCAGCACCATTCAGCGCTTCATTAGCAAAGGCCAATCGTGGAATCCGGCTTTGGAAGCTCTGAACACCAAGTTAAGCCAGGTGAACCTGAAGGGAGGAAAAGCAGATGGAGCAGAGACACAGCAAGACGGGCTGAAACGAGAAAGGTAGCACATACCAAAACACATCATTGGGAGGAAAAACGGAGGCTGATTCCGAGCTTTAAAATGGAGGGGGATGGAGACTGAGACCAGTTCAAATTCTGAGCAGCTCGAAAATGAACAGGAGTCAGTCCCACCTACCAAGCCCTACTTGGAAACCCCAGGGAAGGCTGGTTACGGTCCGGCTCTGCAGACCCACGAACAGACCTGCGCTCCGGGTGTACCCAGGGTGGCACCCAGCGACCCCGGGCCCCCCACCCTCCCGTGCCGGGGGGCAGCGCGGACGGGCCCCCGGCCCCACCGGCCTCCTCACCATGTTGGTTTCATGTTACCGCCGCGGTCCCCGAGCTCCTTCCTGCGCGCAGCTCCTGCGGAAGGGAAGAAAGGGCACAAAAGGAGGGAAGGCTCGCTCTGCCCGCCGGGCACTGCCCTGCCCCGGCCCCCCGCCCCGGCCGTGCCTCACTCGGGCACTGCTGGATCTCACCCCAGACACACGGGCTCCCCCCGCACCCACCTCAGGGGGCCGCTCGTACATCCCCTGCACCCCCGGGCCCGTCCCGGTGCCCTCCTCACCCCGGCTCCTCATGGAGCTGTGTTTCCCCCTTCCCCTCTCCCTTCTCCCCTCACGGGGCCGCGCCCGGTTTTCGCTCCCTCCCCTCACGGCAGCGCGCCCGGCTCACCCCCCCCACCCCGCCTCTCAGCCTGCCCTCTACCCGCCCGCCGCGGCTCACCGGGGCCGGCGCTGCCCGCCCGGCCGGGACTCCGGGACAGCGGGACGCGGAGCCCCAGCGCCGCCGCTCCCCGCCGCTCGAATCAACAACAAGATGGCGGCGCTCGGGAGGGCGGGGCCCGGCGCTGGCCGTCATAGCAACCGCGCCGTCCAAGGCCCGCCCCGCCGCCCCCCGCGCCAATCCGAGCCCGAGCCCCGCCCCGCGGGAGCTTAGCGACATCGCTGATAGGCCGAATTTGCCGTCGCTCAAGCGCAGGGCAGCCCCGCCCTGTTCCGAGCGCGGACGGTAGCGCACGTTAGGCACACGTGACGCCCGCCAGCGCCCCGCCCCGCCGCGGGCCGCGCCGTCTCATTGGCTGCCCGCAGGGAGGGGGGGGCGCTCGGCCAATGGGCGCGACCCGCGAGCACGGGGGGGCGGGGCCGGGCTGGGCGCGCCCCGCGGCTCCGAGACCCCCGGCAGAGACCCCCGGGTGAGACCCCGAATCTCCGGGCGCTGTGGCTCCGAGCTCCCCGCTCTGAGCCCCGAACCCCTCCGCCAAAGACCCCCGCTCTGAGCTCCCCAGCCTGAGCCCCCCCCGGCTGCGTCTCCGAGCCGGCTCTCGCCAGCAGAGCACGCACCTCTCCGGTACAATAAAGGATTTAATTCCCCAGCGGTTATCGGTCCCCTTGGTCTCAGGGCGAGGGGGACCCCCCGGCGGAGTCACACAGGTGACCCTTCTCACTGTGAAATTTCACGGCTGGCCTCTGCCCCCCCTCCCTCCCTTTAGCCACCTACTTCCCAAATTAGTCTCCCCTCTTATCCCGCCAGCGCTTAATTTCCCCGGGAGCTGCCAGGGAGGTGTCCCGTAGCGCCCTCCTTTGAAATTCAAATAGCCAGGTTCCCACCTCTCCCGCTGACTGGCGCCTTCAGAGCTTCCCGCCGCTCCCAGCTCCTGCAGCGTCCCTCTCACCTGCGCCCACGCTAATTCACTTTTCCTTCTAATTATCAACCCGTCCCCTCCGCCGACCGGCTGCTCGCCCAACCCGCTTGCGCCCCTGAGCCCTGGAGCAAAGAAGAGCTTGAGGGGGACACTGGGCAAAAGTTTCTCACAATTACCCGTGACTGAATCTTCTTGCCCCAGATCACCTCTCTGCGGGAGACTGCCCCGGCTGGGTCACATCCACAGGCTACAGAGATGCTGCTGTGACCAGAGGAGATCCTGCCAAAGACCTCAGCACATCTTTCACAGTGCCAACTCCACTGCCGTGACTGCTATCCTTGTCCTGAGTCATGGCACCCATATCCCTGACTGGAGATGGCAGTAATGACCCCCACAGCAGGACAGCCACCAGTGGGATTGCCTGGCCACAGCACTCCCTACGGCAATCACAGCAGTGCCTGCAATCTCTGACATCATTTATTAGGTCTGCACTGTCTGAGGTGGCTCAGGGTCTGGCTGCACCCCATGGAGAGTCGGTTCAGCCACAAAGGATGGGTCTCCTCCTTGAGGGCCCCACCAGGTGTCTGCCAGCGCCCAGTGCTGTGCTTGGCACGGCCCACATGGTGATGTGGGTTGCAGGGAGCCTCTCATCCAGACAAGCCCCTCAGATCCAGCGCCGTGCCCCAGTCACGCTGTTGAAGAGATAGTCCCTGCCGGTGCCTGAGATGGAGGCAGTATTCAGCCACTGCCCTGGGGGTCTGGTGCCCATCTCTCTTGTCTCCAGACCTCTCTGCCCTGGGGGACACAGCCCAAGGCTGTGGGGCCATGGGACAGGGCACTCACGTGGGTCCTGAGCACGGCCATCAAACTGCCCCTGTGTGGAGAGACAGGAGAGGGTGCTGAGGGTCCCAGGGCTCCTCCTGCCTCCTGGGCAGGGCACTCACCTTCACTGCCATGGCACATACTTACCTGGCTGTTGGCATGTGGGTGTCCCTGTTCCTCCTTGCCCCCGCTCTTCTCCACCACATCCCAGGAGCTGCAAGAGGGAAGAAGGCAAGAGGAGGGCACACTGTCAGTGGTGGGCCCCCGGCCTTGACCCCGAGGAATGCTGTCAGGAGCGGGTTGCCAGACAGGCTTTGCCCTGCCAGCTGCACCCTGTCGAGCCCATTGTCCACCTACCTGATCGTCCCCTTACCCAGTCCATGTGTCCCCGGGCACAGAAGGGGATTGTGGCAGGGCTGTGCTCCCCCAAGCACCTTTCAGCAGTGCCTGAAGGTGCTGATCTGGTCTGCCACCTCATCTGCTTGTTTCTCCACATGTTTGAGTTCAGAGGACACTGTGCTGGAGGAGCTGCAGCCCCAGAGCCCCCCTGGTGCCAGTGCCACCCATAGGGGCTGAGCCTGAGTCTTCTCCCTTTCATGGTCACTACAGCCCCAGTGCCACCAATCACTGGGTCCCCAGTCTCACCAATGAACGTGGATCCAGCCATGCATCCCCTCAGGGTGGTTATGCCACTGGAGGTGGCTGTTATCCTGCCCATGCTCGTGCATGTCTCCTCCTTGCCGTGCAGATCCCCTGTGCAGGCTGGTCCAGCTCTAGTGTCTCCTTTGTCTCTGTCCTCTACTGCCTGTCACCCTCATTGATCCTCAGGAGGAGTGTGCAGCCTCCTCACCTCCTCTCTGGAGCTTTTCCTGCCAAGTGGGGCTCACCCCTGCCAAATGGGGGCTCCCCTAGTGAGCTGCACTGACCTCAGCCCTGGTGCTGGGACCCAGCCCTGCAGTGGGCAGCAGCACCAGCACTGTGCCATCCCACGCTGTCCACCGCAGAGTTTGTGCCCCAGCCTGGCTACCAACATCACTGTCCACTGACCAAATCACTATATTTGCTCCTATGGCTCCCATCAGGGCTGAACCCTCACTCTGAGCAGAGCAACTGAGAAACCACAGCCAAATGTGGGGTGTGCTAAACACCCCTCACGTGCCGCATCTCCCTGGCTACCTGCAAAGACACTGTGACTACCAATATAACTGCCCTGGCCGCGCAGTACTCACCTCTTGCCCAGGAACGGTTTGCCAGGGCCCCGGCTCCTGTGGGAGGAGCAGAGGGCAGACATGAGCCCCTGGTCTTGCTCCCTGTGCAGTGCTGTGCTGTGGGCTGGGGCTCACCTGCACAGCAGGCTCCGGGCCGTGCAGCCCAGGGTGGCCAGCAGCAGAGTGCCAGAGATGGTCAGCACGGCCACGAACCAGGCTGGTGGGTGCCACACCACCTCCGTCCGCGTGACAACCAGCGGCTCCTTCTGCAGTGTCTGCAGAGGAGGTGGAGTGAGTGGGTATGGGAGGGCTGGGGGGTTCAGTAGACCCTGGGGCACTGCCTGGCCAGTGGGCTCTGCTCACCGTGTGCTGGGTGGTGGTGCTGGGTGGCACTGGAGTGCTCCAGGGGGTGACGTGCATCACCAGTGCCACCATGGTGCTGCGGCGGCGGGCACCAGAGCCACCCCAAACCTCCACCAGTAGTACAAAGGTGCGGGGCTCGACTTGGTCATTGGGGAGGTAGACGACGGTGTTCCCCTCCAGCCGAAAGCGCCCATCCTCGTTGCCTGGATGAGAGGATTTGCTCAGTGCCGTGCCGTGGTGAGGGTTGGTTTGTGCCGTGGTTTGGCTGCTCCTCACCTCCAACAATGGCGTATGTCAGCGTGTCACCGTTGGGGCTGCCGTGGCACACCAGGCGGGTGACAGGCTGCCGGCTGCCTGGAGACCCAGCCGTGATCCGCAGCTCCTGCACCTCGGGGGTGCACACTGGCACCTGGTCTGGCACGGCCTGCCAGGAGCAGGGAGTGGTGGTGTGGCACCCACAGTGCTCGCAACCCCTGCAGTTCACCCAAGGGGCCGCACTCGCACCTGCAGGCGCACGGACACATCGCACAGGCGGCTGAGCCGCTTCGCCGGGTCCAGGTCGTTGCGGGTGTCTGTCAGCCGCACCACCAGCCTGTAGCTCTTCTGCTGCTGGGAGTCCAGGGGTCCCACCACGCGGATCTCACCTGTGGGGTGGTGTGAGCTGCGGGGCACCAGTGGGTGCCACGGGATGTGGTGGGTGCTGGGGAGGGGGCCAGGTGCTCACCAGTGCGGCTGTCAATGGAGAAGGGCTGCGCCGGGCCGGATTCCCCCTCCAGGCTGTACTCAAGGCTGTCCGGTGGGTAGTCGCGGTCAGTGCCAGCCACACGCCCCACAACACTGCCAAAAGCTGCTGTCTCTGGCACGGTGAAGGTGGCACTGTTGGGGCATGCCGGTCTGAATTCATTCACGGGTGTCACCGTCACAAGCACAGGCACACGGGCTGTGTGGCACACGGCAGCTCAGCCACGCTGGCCACTCCACAGCCCACACTGACCTGGGCAACATGGACAGTGGCACCAGCCCCGGGGTGGGCACCTCTGGGGCAGCAGAGAAGGAACATTTCCTTTGTGATCTGCTGGTTTTCGGATCAGGAAAAGGCTTTTCCCTCCTCCCCCATTGTGACCCCGGGCACACCCCAGGGACGCAGGCACTCACTGCTCCGTGGGAGCTGCTCTCCTGCTGTCACCACGATGGTGGCTGTGAACTGAAAGCCCATAGTGGCCACAGCCTCTGAGTCATAGTCCAGGGTGGTGTTGACCTGCCAAGCCAGGATGGGGAGGGTCAGGCAGAGCCAAGATGCTCTGCAAAGCCAGGGTGTCCTGTAAAGCCAGGGTGTCCCACAAACTGCGATGCCAGGGGAACAGGAGGGAGCGAGCAGGAAGAATAGGCAGGCCTCGGGGAGCAGGGAGCCCTGAGGAGCCCTGACCCAGGACCTGGCATGACAGCACATGTCACAGGGTCCCCCCTGTCCCACCAGGCTCCCTGGGGTCTGGGCTTGCCATCTACCTGGGCGCTGCCTGAGGCCCTGCTCACCTTCAGCCGTGGCCCCTCCATGCAGAAATGGGAGCGGGAAGCGGGGGACCCCTCGAGGGCATAATGCAGACACTCATCATTGCCAGCAGAGTCGGTGCACCTCAGTGTCACCAGGGTGCTGCCAGGGGACACTGTCTCGGGCACCTGGGACCTGCAGTGGGGCAGCCAGCAGCTCAGCTCCTGTCCCCCGTGTCCTAGGTGCAGCAGAGCATCCCATGTACCCCCACTCTCTCCCCAAACCGTACACGAAGATGGCTGGAACACATCTTGGTGCCCAGCGGTCTGTCCCCTGCACGGTGATGTTGACCATGGCAGTGTCGTGGTCAGCGGGGTGCAGAGCATTGTAAGCCTGGATGAGGAGGTGGGCACGGGCCACCTCCAGCCTGCGGGTGCTGCGGATCTCACCTGTCACTGTGGGAGGAGGCACGGCCTTGCACTGCGCACAGGGACAGGGGCAGGATGTCCCTGGGGCCCCCACCCCCCTGCTCACCCTCATCAATGGTGAAGAGCGTGGGTGCCACGGGAGCAAGGATGGCATAGCGGACATTCTCACCACTGGCATGGACCTGTGTGACCACCTTCCAGGGGCCAATGCCCTCTGTCACCGTCACAGACCGGTGTGGCTCGCTGCAGGCAAAGTGGGCAGTGTGGCACGTCCTGGTGCCACCAGCACCCCCTGCCCGGCCCGACCCCACTCACGGAAAGGTGACACGGGGACGGCGCGATGGCAGCACCTCCACCGTCACAGCCCCGCTGCAGTTGTGCCCGTGGCGGTCCATCACCTCAATCTCCAACTTGAACATCTGCAGGGTAATGCCAGGGCAGCTGTGGGACAGCCCTGAGCGGCACCAGGGATGGGGAAGTGGACGGGGTGGGGATTGAGACAGGGATGAACACAGGAATGAGGACAGTAATGGGCACAGAGACAAGAACAGGGATGGGATGGGGACAAGAGACAGGGAAGAGGAGGGGGACAGGGACAAGAATAGGGCTTGAAGCAGGACCAGAGGTGGGAAGATAAGTGGAGATGGAGATAAGTTGAGTTGGAGACTGAAATGGGGACAGGAATAGGGACAGGGATGAGAACTGAGACAGGACTCAAGATGCAGAAGGGGATGGGGACAGAGCTGGAGCATTCCAAGGTCCAGGGAAAGACAAAAGCCCAGTGAGAGGAGCAGGATGTGGAGAGCTGCAGGCAGCACCAGGAGGGGCTAAGCCCAGGCTGCTGACACAGCCTGGGGATGCAGGTGCCAACCTGGGTGTCCTTGCTGGGGTCAAAACCATTGTCAGGCGCCAGCACCAGGCCCCGGCGGGTGAGCGTGAGAGGTGTGTCTTGGTTTCGGAGCCTGAACTGCAGAGAGGAGGGTGATGGAAACCCCTGTCCCCCTCCTCCACAGCTGAGGTTCCACTGTCTCCAAAGCTACTCCCATTTCTGGGGGCTGAAGGCCTCCGGGGAACTGTCACTCACCGTCAGCCCACCGAGTGGCTGCGGCAGCACCGCATACAGGGGTGTCCGGGGCGCCACATCCGCCAGTACCTGCACCACATCACCCCCTGGGGCAGAGCACAACTGTGGGAGCTTGGTGCCAGCTGGCACCTGCAGCCCCCCCTGCCCCACGCCTCTGGTTCCTACCGGCACTGGTGAAGGGGGTGTCACAGCGCAGCACCTGTCCTGATGTCACCTGGACAAAGAGCCGCTCTTCCACCTCATCCTCTCCGGGACAAGTGGCCCGGAGGGTCAGGGTGTACTGATTCACCTGGCGGGCATCGAGCTCCGCACCAGCACGCAGCGTCACCTGCCGTGGGGACATGTCACTCAGCAGGGCACCCAGGGCTCCTGCCCCACTCCCTGTTCCCCAGCCGCACCTCTGCCTGGAACATGGTGGCAGATGTGGGGTTGGCACTGATGGCAATGGGGTTGAAGGGGTGGTCAGGCTCCATGCTGTCCAGGGTGACATTGGGGCTGCCACTCATGTTGCTGCAGGACACGGTCACCTCGGCCACGCGGGTGCCTGGCACTGTGTCCTCACTCAGGGTCACCACACGTGGCAAGTCAGGCAGGGCTGGCGGGAGACCCCAGGGACCACCAATAGCTCACCCAGCCGTGCTTAGAGAGCTCTGCTCCTGCACCCGGGCGCCCATGCTGGCACAGGTCTCTCTACTGGGTACAATGGGTCCCAGGGCACCTCGTTCTTACCTGTTGCTTTGATGAAAGTCCCTGCAAAAAGGAGAGTGTCACCCCAGGCTGCCACAGTGTGCCCTGGAGAGGCCCCAGAACTCACGGAATCGTAAAATCATAGAATATGCTGCGTTGGAAGGGACACATCAGAACCACTGAGTCCAACTCCTGGTCCTACACGGGGCACCCCAAGAACCACACCATGTGCCCTCTGTGATGCTCTGAAGATGCCCCAGTGGTGCCTGGATATGACTTAGTGATGCCCAGAAGATGCCCCAGTAATGCTCTGGCAATACCCTGAGGATGCCCAGGCAATGCCCTGAGGACACCATAGCAATGCCTGAGGATGCTTCAGCAATGCTCCCTCCCTGTTTGAACCCAGCCAGGCAGCTGCCAGCCCCTCTGCCCTTCCTGAGGTCAGCCCCAGAGCCTGTCCCTTTTCCCCCTCCTCTCAGTCACCCACTCAGGTTCTGCTAAAGGGTGCCTCTGACACTGAACCCTAATGTTCTTACCTGGGGCATAGAGGCTGAGGAGGAGGAGGAAGAAGGTGAGCTGTTCGTGCATGCCCATCGTTCGCTGGATGTTTGGGACAAGCTGCAGCCGGTTGCCAGGGGTGCTGGGCACCACCCCGGGCTGGCGTCACGCTGGCCATCCCCACCCGTGGTGGCCGACCCAGTCAGGGGAGGGAGAGGGCACGGCCCCAGTGCCCCCTCTCCCAGCCCCTCGCCCCTCGCAGCCACGGTCCGTGGGGTTTGGCTGCCACCCCACGCCGCCTCGCCACGCGGCACGTTCGGGAACCGGGAAAATTAGCTGGGAGGTAATTTTTGGCCGTGTTCTCCTTCATTTGCAAACCAGCGCCGCTTTTCTCCGGGATCCCTATTAAACGCTATTAGCTGCCAATTAACGGGCGCTGCGGCCGGGGTCACTCTTCCCTTCCCTCCTCCAGCGCCCAGCCCGTCTCCGGCAGCCTGGTATAGGCGGGTGTCCCGCAGGGACCCCGTACCGGGGCTGCTCCGCTTCTCGCCGGGGCTACTCGGCCCCGGTGCCCTCGGGGCTGCCGGCCGGGACGCGGGTCCCGCCTGGCGCGGCGGTGCCCGGGTGGTGCCCGGCGCGGGGCCCCGGGGCGGCGGGCGGGGTCCGGGGGCGGGGCGGGGCCCCGGGGCGGCGGTGCCGGTGCGGGCCGGGCTCACGTTACGGCGGCCCCATTGGCCGGGGCGGGGCGGGGCGGGGCCGCCGGGCAGCGCCGGGAGGCGGCGGGCACGGCCGGGCGCTCCGTCCGCTGTTGCTGCCGCTGCCGCTCCGCCACCGCCACCGACAGCACCGGGAGCGGGGCCGGGAGCAGGACCGGGCATGCACAGCGCCCGCCCGGACGAGCTCGGCGCCCACCGGGTGAGTGCCGCCGCGAGCACCGGGACGGGACGGGACCACCGTGCCCGCGCCCCGCCGCCCCACCGAGGCATTGCCGTGACGTCCGGGCGCCGCCGGTGACATCAGCGCCGTGACATCACACGCGAGGCCAAGGCGGCGCGGGGGACGGGGCCGTCTGGTGGGACACGGGTGGCGGTGGGGACGCGACAGTGTCCAGCTGTCAGGGTGCCAGTGGCACAGTCCCCCCGGAGCTGCCACCCTGCCGCCCAATCTGGGCTGCCCCAAGGGACGGCGGTGACAGGGTGGCCCTTTGGCTCCCCTGGGCCTGCCACACATGCCTACCCAGCGCCCAACAGCCGGCTGCCCCTGCGTTCCCGGCCAGCGGCGGGACTGGGCAGCTCGGGGCGGTGGCAAGTTGCCAGTAGGGCTGGATGAGAGGGTCCCAGCCTGCGGGGAGGGGGACAGGGACCGGAACGTGGACGTGGACTGTCACAGCCCTGCTAGAGGGTCTGTCAGGGACAGCCAGAGGGGACAGGATTATCCGTCCACGGGAGCGATCCCTCCTGCACACTCAGCTTCCCGCGACTCCAGCGCGGACAGGAAAGCGGACGTAACACCCTGCTTTTGGGTTCAGACAATAGGAATTCAAGAATGAGGAGCGGCCCGGCGATGGGAGCCAGGCGGCCCTTCCAGCGCCCGCCCGGCCACGCTCCGTTCAGCCCTGGCTGCCTCGGCCCCCTGTATTCCGCGGTGTTTGGTGGTCTCTGGCACTGGGCAATGGCCTGGCTGCACCCTGACGTCACCTGGGGTGTCCCCAGCGGGAGGGCACGGTTTGGGTGGGTGGCCCTGCCAACGCACGGGGCGAGTGCCCCACCCCGGCACCCGCGGCTGCCCTGGGGCTGCCGCTGGCCCTGTGCCACCGAGTGGGGTTCTGCCGGAGGGGTGTCTCGGCTGCCTCCCCACCAGGCCGGGAGGACTCCAGGGGCCGGCGGGGGGGTAGTGGAGCGCCCGCTCCTACGTGCCGTGGCCCTCTGTCATTTCCCGCAGGCACGGCCGGGGCTGGGTGCCTGCTTGCTCACCCAACATGCCGCTGCACGCCGGCCGGCTCCGCGCAGGAGCCGCAGGAAAGCGGGGCCCGGGGCTGCGGGCAAGACGGGACCTGCACCCACTCCCCGCACCCCGCTGCGCGCCTATTGCGCCAGCAAAGCCCCCCCGAGCCGGGGTGGGGGGCGCGGGGTGGGATGAGAGGTGGCGGTGCTGGCTGGGGACAGTGGGGACCGCTGTGCTGATTGTGCCCTTTCCCTGCAGTGGTGCCGGCGCGAAGCAGGGGCGGCGCCGCGGGCGCACATGCACAGCACGCGGCAGGCCCCGCACCTCGCCGGAGGGGCGTCGGGACCGGCTCCCCGTGCCCCACGCCCCGGCTCGGCGGCGGACTCGGCCTGCAGCCTGGATCCGGGCGGCGAGGAGGAGGACGGGGGGGGCCCGGCCGCCCGCTCCCCCCCGGCCAGCGAGCGCAGCCTGGAGTTCGACTCGGGGTACTCGGAGGCGTCGGGCGGCACGTGGCGGGAGGAGGAGGTGCCCGTGCGGCGCCGGCACCTGCTGCCCTGCCAGCGGGCACACCGGCTCTCCGCCGGCCCCGCCGCCCCGCCGCCCGTCCCCGCCCGCCGTGCCCGCCCCAAATCCACCTCGGACGCCTGCCTGGAGCAGTGGCGGGCGCTGGAGCCCGCCGACACACAGGACTGGACCGTAGCGCTGCTGTCGCAGAGCCGGAACCGGCAGCCCCTGGTGCTGGGTGACAACTGCTTTGCTGACCTGGTGGAGAACTGGATGGACCTGCCCGAGGTGGGCGCCGAGCCGCGGCGCCGAGCCCCCGCCGAGCCCTCCCGCCGGTTGGCCAAGCCCCCCGCCTTCCTGCTCAGCCTCTCGGGCAATGTTCGCCGCAAGCTGGCCAACATGGCCCGGCCCCGGGCGGCCGAGGGTGCCCGGCCAGGGGGCCGCGATGCCACCAAGCGTTTCTCCTGCCCCCTGGGGCTGGGGGGGCAGCCCAAGGGTGCCTGCTTCCACCAGTCTCACAGCAACATTGCCCAGCTGGCCACGGACTTCCACCGCTTCACCGCCCTGATGAACAGCCGCAGCCGCCAGCCCATCATCTGCAACGACGTTATCGGCTACATTTAGCCCCGCTGCTGCCGCCCGCACCCCCTCCCTGTAAATAAACCCCGGTTTTGTACGGTGTGGGCACTGCAGCGTTTATCAAGGGGGGTGCCTGTGCCCAGACTCTGGACAGGGGCAAGCAGGGAGTTTTTGCGACAGTGGTTCCCACAGCTTTTATTGCGTGGGGCAGGAAGTGCCGGCCCCTTGCTCAGGGTAGGGAGCAGAGGAGAGAAGGACGCTTATCTTCATCCTCAGCATCCTCTCCCTCGCACACATAATGCAGCTCCAGGGCCTGCTGCTGCGGCATCCCGGCATCCTCCAAGATCTCCGATAACCTGTAGCAGGGAAAGGGGGTTTTGGGGACACTGGCTTGCCCCCCAAGGCTGGCTGGGTGCCTGGGGGTGCCTTGGGCCCCTCAGGGGTGTCCAGCCAGGCCGGTGGGACGCAGGGGCCATCAGAAAGGGGCCGGGCAGGGGTCCCGCCACGGGAAGCACTGCCGGCAGGATGTTTATCCAGCAGCTGGCTGGGAGCTGCACTGCAGCTGGAGCAGCTCAGGATGGAGGGAGAGGAGGCTGAAAGCCCCCGCCCTGGGCAGGATTGGCCCTGGAGCCGGAGACCTACCTCTGTGCCTGTTGCCGGGCCTGTGTCTCTTCATCGTCTCCCTTGTTGTAGAGTATGGTGTCACCATGCAGGAGCGTGGTCACAGTCCAGCCATGTGTTCTCTGCAAGAGTTGGGTGTCAGGATCTGTCCCTGTAACCCCCAGGGTGACCTGATTGGGTGCTGCTGGCACTGGGCTCACCTGCAGCCAGTCCAGCACCTCCTGCACCGTCATTGCCTGCCCGTCTGCGCTGACTGCCCTCATCTCCAGCCAGTCCCAGCAGCTCCATTCACACCCGCCGTACTGTGAGGGGGAACAAGGGATTGCAGCCAGCACTGGCACCCCATATCGTGGCTGCCCAACCCCATGAGGCAGAGACTGGTGTGGCATGAGGGTTGGGGGACATCAGAGCAGGCAAAAGGACCAGTCAGGGGACAGGGGGAGAATGGTGGTCCCCTGTGGGAAATGAAGACACAGCTGTCCCATAAGCATTGCTGGTGTCCAGGGGCAGCTGGGGACACAAATGTCCCCTCAGTGCTGCTGGGGTCCAGGGGCAGTTGGGGCCACAACTGTCCCTCCAGCACTGCTGGGGTCCACTGCAGGGGTCGGGGTCGGTGTAGGGCCAGCACTGCCCCCAGCCCCAGGCCAGGCCAGGCACACAAAGGGCCATTGAAGTGTTGCCCAGCCCCACACAATCACCTCTTCTCAAGCCCGTGGCCCCCCGACCCCGGCTCCAGCCCAAGGAGACCAGTGCGGCGCCAAGCCTGGGGCCAAGTGCCGGATGCGGCCCCGCACCGTCTGGCAGGGCTGCCCGGCCATCTGCCCTCGCCGCAGGCACCACCAGCCCTGCCCGCCTGGCCCCGGCCCTGCTCGGGAGGGGTGTTCACACCTGGTCACTCTCCCTCCTGCCTTCTGCTGCCTTCTCACCTCCGCCTTCTGCTGCCTGCACTTATCCCACTGGGGTGGGAAGGGCTTAACCCCATCCTCACCGGAGCAGTGACTGCCCAGTGCAGAGGGAATGCCATTGCCCATCCCAGTACCCCGAAAACACATCCTTCTGGCCCTGAGAAGCACATGCCTCTGAACTGCCCCCAAGGTGGGCTCCCCAGGCCCCTTTGGGGACACAGGTCACACCAAGTGAGCCTGGGGGACATGTGCTCCCACCACGGCCAAGCAGCTGGGTGTGAAATGTCACGCCGGGTGTCCTCACCATGGGACATAAAGGTGCCAGGTGCTGCTGCAGGGACCTAAGGGCATGGCCAGTCCCAGCAACATCCTCCATCCAGGGACAGTGCCAACCCAGGGGCACCGTGGCCAGGATGGCACAGGGCTGGGCAGCCCACAGGGCACAAGAGGGCTGTGGGGCAGCCGTCAGTCCAAAGTGGTGCTGGAGTCGGCAAGGCAGTGGAGTCGCCTCCCTCCCCCTCTTCCTGCCCCCGGCCCTGGGCCCCCCGGGCCAATCTGGTTCCAATCGGCGCTTCCTGCCTTGCCGGAAGGGCTGCCTTGCACGCCATAAACCCCCAGACAAAGGGGCCTCTATAGCCCAGACGGTCCCAATCTGGGCCTGCCCCCGCCCCCGCTCTCCCTCCCTGGCCCCCCACCGCTGGGACCCCCGGCCCCGCTCCCCCCGGGCGGCCCTTCCCGGCCCGGTGCCAGCTGCTTTCTGGCTGCTGCAGCTGGTTTCCATAAGCCAGATGTGCGCGGCTGCAGCGGCCTGCCACTCCTGGCCGTGGGGCTCACCGTGGGGCCCGCCGTGGGGCAGCAGGGCTGCCTCACCCCATGGGCACCCCAGAACATCCTGGTTGGGCCCTAAGCTGGGGCGGGTGGGATAGTGGCAGCAGCTCAGTGCTGGGGGGTAGCCACGGGAAGGAGCTGGTTCCCTGCTGCCTGGCAGCATTCCCAACCCACTGTGACACCCGGAACCATTGCTGTAGTGCTACAATCAGGGCTGCCCCTTGCTCCTGGCTCTCCCTGACATTGTCCCACCGCAGATGCCACCAACCCCTAGGTGTCCCCCACCTGTGCTGCCCCCAGGGAGAGGGCCTTACCCAGTAGGTGGGCGGCGGGAGTGGGACGCGGCGGAGCAGCAGGCAGTTGGACAGGGAGATGTTGCTGTTGCGGTAGCAGCTGAGGTCCTGGCACCCCCACACCAGCTTGTAGACCTCCAAGCATGCCAGCCCAGCCACGGCTGCCGTGGTGGTGATGATGGCAGGCAAGATGCGCCCGGCGATCCGCTTGCTCTGAGGAGAGGAGGGGTGTCACCAGCTGCCCCGCCCAGGACAGGGACCCCATGAGCCACCCCTCTCACCGTCATCCAGTCAGTGGGGGGGATGCCATAGTTCTCCGCACGCAGGTTGGATGCTGCAGTGATAAAGTCCACGTGGATATCGTTGTCCTGTGGGGAAGAGTGTGGGGACATGAGCATCCTATGGGGACATCAACCCCCCAAGCTGAGCAGGGCCACCTGCCCGGCTCTGGTACCTTCTCAAAGTGGATGGGCTCCATCAGGGGCACTTGCGTCTCCTCATGCCCCATCAGCTCCTGTCTCTGCTGCACCAGGTCCTGGATAAGCTCTGTCAGCTGCCTGCGGTCTGGGGGCACATGGACCCTTGGTGTGGTACCCCTGCGGTGTGGCACTGCAAGGGGCACGGCACAGTGCCCCCACCTCAGTCCAGGTCCTGCTGGGTGCTGGAGCAGGGAGGAGCGGTTGCAGCCCCACCACCACCAGGCTGGACTGAGGGACCTGGGGACGTGCCCGAGGGGACCAAGGAGTGTGAGGAGCCTCACCTGTGGGCTTCTGTGCCTCCTCCTGCTCCTCTGTGAGGGGGATCTGAAGCCCTTCCTGGAGTGCAGAGGGTGGCAGGACCACACTGCGGAGGATGTCCTGAGCGGCTCTCCGGTCCCTGCATGGTGGCACCCTGTGTACTTGGGCAAAGAGGTGGGCAGTGGCCAGGATATAGTCCAGGTGGGTGTCCTGCAGGGCAGAATGGGGTTATGGGACGCCTTGCTGGGGTGGTCCCACACGGCCAAAGGCTGCCTGCACTGCCCTGAACTGGTAGAACAGTCTGGCTTTGTCCCAAGGTGGAGATGGAGGAGCCTCTCCTCCTCAGGCTAGAGAGCACATGCAGGCTGTACCCAGCAGTGCCCTTGCTGACCATGGGACAAGGACAGACCCAGCCCAGGACCTGTCAGCCCTGGACAGGTCCTGTGGCAGATGGAGCACAACCACAGTCCAGCATCCCTGTACCCCTGGCACAGGCTCGGCTCTCCCTCAGCCCACACTGTCCCTGTGAGGGACCCCACAGCTCTCCCTGCACTCACATTCTCGGGGTTGAATGTCAGCGGATGGGGACAGCTCTTGTCCCCTGTCCAGAAGGGGACACCTGGGCTGGTTTCCTGGAACAGGGAGAGAAGAGTCAGGCCCAGGGATGTGTGTCCCTGGCTGCAGCGAGGTGGCTGGAAGGGGTGCAGGGGTGCCAGCCCCATGGGCACTGGGCTCACATGCTCCGGGGGGTAGATGTGCAGCAGCTGGGCAATGGCATCGTGGTAGCGGCTCTGCCAGTGCCGGCGCGCCCAGAGCACACAGTCCCGCCAGTCCCGCGGCCGCTCCCGCAGCCTGTCCCGCACCTGCTCCAGGACCTTCAGGGCCTTCCCCGCTGGCAGCTGCTCCAGGAAAGCTGGGTCTCTGTAAAACCAGGCACTGCTGATGCTGGCCTGAGAGCAATCCCGTGGGACACCTGGGTGGGATGCAGCAGTCTGGCATCCTCTCCCCAGCCCCAGCAGTGCCCCGGCAGAGCTGGGATCTCCTCTCCCAGTGTCATTGCCCTCAAGCCCACTCACTCCATGAACCGGTTGATGTGCTCTGCAGGCAGCTGGAAAAGCCCCTCAAACTCATCACGGGCCCACTGTGGAAGGAGAGTGGGTGTTGAGCACGGGGACCCCCCCTCATGGCCAACCCAAACCCAGTAGGAGGAAGAGACTATGGCAGGGCCAGCAGCAGCACTCAGGCTACCAGCAGGAAGCAGCTGGGGCTGTATCCTGCCCGTGGCTCACTGCTGGAGGGGAAACAGGGAAGGAAGACGAAGGTCATGGTGCCTCCTTGCTGGGTGCTGTGGCCAGGGCGGCTCAGCCTACCTGCAGTGTGTGCTGGATGGTGCGGGGGAAGTACCGCAAGGTGCAGGAAGCAAAGGTGCCATCCCTGGGGGTCCCACCCGGCTCCAGAGGCTTGGTCAGGTGTGGCACCATGGGCAGCACGTTCCCCCGCGGCCCCTCCGTGCCCGAGTCCACCAGTGGTGTGCGGCATCGGAGGCAGCAGCTCTCCAAGTAGGTGCCTGCAGGGAGCCAGGAATGCTGGGGAGCCAGGGGGCACATCCAGGGGCTCAGCCCCTTTCCTCTTCCCAGCACTCACGGGCCTCCATTGTGTCCAGGGCACTGGTGACACCGTCCAGGCGCCAGAAGAAGTTGTCCCCATAGAGTGGCTCA